ACACTTACATGCTTGGAATCTTTTATGATTAAGGAGATTTTATCTTTTCATAAGAATATCATTACTAGGCTTAAAGATCATTGGGATGCCTCAGAAGCAGAATCACTCCAGTCCCAGGCACCTACTCCACCCAGGTATCATGACTATTCTTCTGAGGTTGTTACTCCTACACCATTAGTGAACCCAGCCACAATGTTAGAAAAGCCAACTTCTAAAACACACCCTCATGGACGAATGGCTTATGAATGGCCACCTATACAACCGAAGGATCTTAAGAATATTAAAGAATCAGTTGTCTCATATGGCCTCCATAGCCCATACATAAAACAGCTATTACATTCATGAGCAACCTTCAACAGAGTGATACCCATAGATTGGGAATGATTAGTAGCACCCTTACTTGAGAATTCGTGCCCAATCCAGTGGAAGGCATTGGTGAGGGAATGATTGAAGTTAATAGAGCATCAGACCATAAAGGAAGATTTTAAAGCCCCTCTAGAAAATCTTCTTGGTCAAAGTATTTATGCTAACCCAGAGGCTCAGGCTGAATATGATGATGATATACTGTCCCTATGTAGGAAAGCAGCATTAAAAGCCTGGGATAAGGTTCCTGAGCCAGGAGAATGCCTACAAGCTTATACCAGAATAGAACAGGGACCTACAGAACAGTTCCAGGACTTCTTACAAAGGTTAATTATGGCAGTATATCCAGAAACAAGACAATCAATTATATATAAAATAGCTCACGAAAATGCAAACCAAATATGTAAAAGAATATTTTTGCCTTTAAAGATCAGGTCAGCTCCGCTAGAAGAATGGGTTTTGCATGCAGCCAACATTGACTATAATGTGCAAGACACTGGAGCTTGGGTAGGAGAAGCCATTTTGAAAGGTTTAAGAAGACAACAGGAAATTAAAAGTTCTAGAGGTGAGGATGCAAGGGCTTGGCAAGGAGAAGCACCTTACAGAGGTCAACATAGGTACCAAGAGGCTAGAGGTTACTACTACTATGAAACAGAACCTTGGGTAGGAAGAGCCTTCCCCTGGAGACCACGAAGGCGCCAGGAACCTAGATGTTTCAGCTGTGGTAAAATGGGACATACTAAGAGAAATTGTAGACAAACGAATTCTAACAATGCCTCATATGGAAGGCCACTGCCTTCTGGATTGTGTAGAAGATGTGGTAAGGGCAGACACTGGAGCAATGAATGTACATCGACCAGGCACATGCAAGGAAACCTGTTCAAGCTGGGAAACCCTGAAGGGGGCCTCAAGAAGGCTCCCACATCTAGAAAGGTCCAGTCATTCCCAGTAGCAGTGGGAGACAATCTCTCACAGGACAAATAGATAGTTCTTTGCCTATTATGAAAAATGATACTGCTCTAGATGGCTGTTTGATTAGTGATGAAGAATCAAATGTGACTGGATAAAATGAGAATGTATATTTTGGCAAGCTTCTATTAATGATAAATGGCCTCAGTTGAAAGTAAAAATTAATAATAAAGTTATTACTGGCTTAGTAGACACCGGGGTGGATGTAACTATTATTATCCAAAAGTCTTGGCCTCAGATATGCCCTCTTAGAGAGGCAAATGTACAATTTTTAGGAATTGGAACTCTAT